CAGGTCTGAGAACCAAGAGGATGTCCTAGAAACACCCATCCCAGAGCTGATTGTCAACTCATCTGATGAAGATAAGGCACGTCACAAAACAATATGCGAGAGGTAAAGGAATGTTACTTGCCTCATGCTGGCTGCCATGGAACCTGGTCTTCAACAGAGGTTTGAGGATCAGGATGCCTATACAATTATGAGAAATCTTAGAGATCTCTTTAAGGAGCAGGCCAGGATTGAGAGGTATGAGACCCTTAAGTCCATATTGCAAAGCAAGCTCGAAAAGGGGAAACCAGTGGGGCCACATGTTTTCCACATGATAGGCCTGTTTGACAGGATGGCTCGACTTGGGAACCCCTACAATGTTGAGATGGCTACAGATATGATCCTGTATTCCTTACATGATGGATTTGCCAATTTCAGGCAGATGTATCACATGGGAGCCATGGGTAAGACCCTCAATGAGCTGCATGCTATGCTCAAAACTGCTGAGCAAAATGTCTTGGTTGAACCTAGGAAGGATGTTCTTATGGTCAACAAAGGGAAAGGGTTTAAGAAAGGGCCACAGAAGAAGCAACAGTCTCAAGGGAAGGGCAAGACAGTTGTTCCACCTAAGGGAAACACACCTAAAATAAAGGTGGCTGCTGAGCATGACTGCTTCTACTGCAAGGCTAAGGGGCACTGGAAGAGAAACTGCCCCAAATATCTGGAAGATAAGAAGAGGGGTGCCTCTGCTTCAGGTATTTGCGTCATTGAAATCTTATCAACTAACTCCAATTCTTGGGTATTAGATACCGGTTGTGGTTCTCACATTATTTCGAATGTGCAGGGACTACGAAATAGGAGACGGTTGCAGAAGGGTGAGATAGATCTTCGCGTTGGAAATGGAGCAAGAGTTGCTGCACTTGCCATTGGAGATTATAGTCTACCGCTACCTTCTGGCTTGGTTTTAGAACTTTATAATTGTTATTTTGTTCCTTCTATTACTAAGAATTTGATTTCAATTTCAGTTTTGAACCTTGAGGGTTATAATTTTGTCATTAAGGATTGTTTTTCTATTTTTAAGAATGACATCTTTTATGCTCAAGCCCATATGAATAATAGTGGATTATACATATTGGATCTCAAATCTGAAGTTTATAACGTTGATACAAAACGGCAAAAGTCGAATGACATAAGTGAAGCCAATCTATGGCATTGTCGCCTAGGCCACATTAGCATTAAACGCATGAAGGAACTCCAAACAGTTGGTAGCCTAAAGTCATTTGATTTAGAATCATTTGAAACATGTGAATCATGTCTAATGGGTAAGATGACAAGGTCACCTTTCAAAGGTACAAGTGAAAGGACTACTGAGCTCTTAGCTCTCATACATACCGATGTGTGTGGACCTATGAGCATAGAAGCTAGGAGAGGCTATCGATACTTCATTACATTTACTGATGATTTTAGTAGATACGGGTATATCTACCTAATGAAACATAAATCTGAGTCTTTTGAAAAGTTCAAAGAATTTCAGCATGAAGTTGAGACACAAACAGGCAAGAAGATAAAGGCACTTCGATCAGATCGAGGGGGTGAATATCTGAGCCAAGAATTCGACCATCATTTGAGGAGTTGTGGTATTCTAACACAACTGACTCCACCAGGTACACCACAACTGAATGGTGTGTCTGAGAGGAGAAACAGGACATTGTTAGACATGGTCCGCTCAATGATGAGTTTTGCTGATCTTCCTACATCCTTTTGGGGTTATGCCCTCACTACTGCTGCGTTCACACTAAACAGGACTCCGTCCCGATCAGTTGACAAGACACCACATGAGATATGGTTTGGGAAGCCTCCCAGCTTGTCATTTCTGAAGGTTTGGGGATGCGAGGCTTATGTAAAGCGTTTACTATCTGATAAGCTCGCACCCAAATCAGACAAATGCTTCTTTATAGGTTACCCCAAGGAAACGAGGGGTTATAATTTCTACAATCCCGTTGAGAACAAGGTGTTTGTTGCTCGGGATAGTGTCTTTTTGGAAAAGGATTTCTTTTCCAAGAAGTCAAGTGGGAGAAATGTTCAGCTTGATGAGATTCAACCTGAGCAACAAACCCTACAGCATGAGGACATAGAAGATGTCACAGAGGAACTTGATTTTGGAGGCGTACCTTCTCAAAGGGAAACCACCCATATTCAAGATGCAATTCCTCAGGTAGATGAAGCACCCGAGGTCCCACATACTGATGTGGTCAATCCTCCTGCTAAAGTCTCTCCAGCTGTTGGACCACTTTGGAGATCAAACAGGCCAAGGCGGCAACCTAGACGATATGAGGATTTCGTCTTGAATGCTAGCATTGACGTTCTACTTTTAGAGAATGATGAGCCTGCTACCTATAAACAAGCAATGGCGAACCCCGACTCCGAAAAATGGCTTGAAGCCATGAAATCCGAAATGGACTCCATGTCTGAGAATCAAGTATGGGACTTGATAGATTTGCCTGATGGGGTAAAACCCATTGGATGCAAATGGGTCTTCAAGATCAAGACAGACAAGGATGGAAATGTTTCTGTCTACAAGGCAAGATTAGTTGCCAAAGGATTTAGACAAGTTCATGGTATTGACTATGATGAAACGTTCTCACCGGTTGTTATGATCAGGTCCATTAGGATAATCCTAGCAATTGCCGCTTATTATGATTATGAGATATGGCAAATGGATGTCAAGACCGCTTTTCTAAATGGATATTTAGAAGAAAATGTATACATGATGCAACCAGAAGGTTTTGAGGATCCAGAGAATCCTAGGAAAGTATGCAAGCTTAAGAAGTCTATCTATGGACTTAAGCAAGCATCCAGGAGTTGGAATCTTCGTTTTGATGAAGTGGTCAAAAAGTTTGATTTCATCAGATGCGAAGAAGAGCCATGTGTTTACAAGAAGTTTAGTGGGAGCAAAGTGGCCTTCCTGGTTCTATATGTGGATGACATATTACTCATTGGAAATGATATTCCTATGCTGGAGACAGTCAAGGAATGGCTTAAGAAGTATTTCTCAATGAAGGATCTAGGAGAGGCAGAGTACATATTAGGCATTAAGATCTATAGAGATAGGTCTAAGAGGCTTATTGGTCTAAGTCAAGGAACTTATATAGATAAGGTCCTTGCTAGATTTAATATGGTGAATTCTAAGAAAGGATTCCTTCCTATGCAACATGGCTTACGTCTCAGTAAAAGCCAGTGTCCTAAAACACCAGGTGAAATTGAGAAAATGAGTAGGATTCCCTATGCCTCAGCCATAGGATCCATCATGTATGCTATGACTTGTACTCGCCCAGATGTTGCGCACGCTTTGAGTATGTGCAGCAGATACCAATCAAACCCTGGAGAGGCACATTGGTGTGCAACCAAGAACATTCTAAAGTACTTGAGAAGAACTAAGGATAATGCCTTAGTGTATGGAGGTGATGACGAGCTGATCGTCAAGGGCTACACTGATGCGAGTTTCCAGACAGATAAAGATGATTTTGAATCTCAGTCTGGATATGTCTTCATTCTGAATGGAGGAGCCGTCAGTTGGAAGAGCTCAAAGCAAGGGACAATAGCAGATTCTACAACGGAAGCAGAGTACATTGCTGCTAGTGAAGCAGCTAAGGAGGCGGTATGGATTAGACAGGTAATAGCTGAGCTCGGTGTTGTTCCTAGCACTTCTAGAGCAATTGACGTCTATTGTGACAACAATGGCGCCATTGCTCAAGCCAAGGAACCTAGCTCTAGCTCCAGATCTAGACACGTCCAACGAAAGTACCACTTGATCAGACACTATGTTGATAGAGGAGACGTGAGGATGTGCAAAGTGCACACTGACGACAACATTGCAGATCCTTTGACCAAGCCCTTGCCTAGGCCCAAGCATGATAGTCACACTCGGGCCAAAGGGCTCAGACACATTGGAGAAATATTTTGAAATATTTTCGTTATTACAGACATTTATGCTTGATTTATATATATGAGTATCATATTATTATTTAATCACTGCTTGGGATTAGATAAAGTATCCGAATAATTTAATAATTATCAAATGGGCTCATCAAAACTGTTTTGGTAAATGAAACCCCATTAAGTGAACTGATATTATAAAATTATTAGTTGTTCATGGTCTGAGTCATTAACTAGGATACAAATGACTTAATTCAAGACCATATTGTGAGATTGATTGATAACACCGGGTTTCATGTGTTATAGGGACATGGAGATGTCTAATCGATTACATAGGTATGTATGGTGATACATATCAGACAGACCTATCATAGAACTCTTCGGGTTCTTTCTGCAGAGTTCTAGGATTATTCATGATTAGTGAGTTCCTTAGACATGAGTATGATATAGTCATCATTTGACTGCTGGTATGTCTTTGACGCTGCTAAACGCTGACCGTAACAGGCAGTTATAAAAGTAGTGATTGGGATTGCCAAAAGTTGAGTGGGAGATATAGTCTTACAAGATTGAATATGTCCTCCTATTCCATGTATACCATGATACATTTGGAAAGGAACGGTGTCTCGGCCACTTGAAGAGTGAGAACTGTGAAAAACGCATGGCCATGCTCAGATGGATTATTAGTAATCATTTGTACTGACAGTTCGATCTCAAGAGTTCAAGAAACATATTTGGCGATAAAGATGAGTTTCATCATATAGTCAAATAAGACATTAAGTGACAAAGGAATTTTAACATTGCACACTTGTTTCAAGGACAAGTGGGAGATTGAAGGAATTGTGTCCTTTAATCGAATGTGCAATTACTAATTATGGATGGGACATTTAATGGAGATTTACAATCCGGTTATTTTAGGTAGTCATAGTGCTTTGCTAGAAGCCAACTATGATTTATGGACTTTATGTTATAAAGTTCATTGCTATTATAATTGGGTCCTACGAGGTCACACCCTAAGAGTTTATGGACTGGATATATTGGGAGAATTATTATATAAAGTATATAATATAAAGTTATATAAGATATAACTTCAAAATAGAGTTTATTAATAATAAGGAGTTATTGTTAAATAAAGGATAAATTTATTTATAAATGTTATAAAAGATAATATTTAATTATAGAATTAAATATGACTTTAATTAGTGGATTATATTTAATTATAGAATTAAATATGACTTTAATTTGTGGATTATAAATAAGAGTGGTTTTTCTTTTAGAAAATCCAATCCAATTCCACTTTCTCTATATACGTGAAAGTGTTACTACTTTCTCTCCCAAAAAACCTTTCATCTTCAACCTAGCAGTTGATTTCTAAGGATCCAGATCTTTGCTCGGGTGGATCAACTAGAGGAGTTTTCAAGTGAGACTCTTAATCTCTCCATTAGAGAAGGCTTTGAACACGCATCAAGAGGTAATCGTTTTTCCTTTTTCTTAATCCAATTGATTTATGCAATAGATCCTTCGTTTAGATGTTAGGAAAACGTTTCCTGCAATTCCGCTTAGAGCATCTAAAGTTTCTACAGCATAACTCCATCTCATTGAGTAGTCAAAGAAGCTCGTCATCCTCCCACAAGGTAATTGGACCAATAGACTCCTTCACCGCTCGTTCTCCCAAGGAGATTACCCAAATAGTAGCAAAGGAAAAACAACCAACGAAGGACGCCAAGCTTAAAAAGAAGAAAAGTGAGGATGTATTATAATACATCTCTAAATAGTTCAATGAAGCTGGCATTCCATTTCATACTGCCACGCTTTCCTCTTTCCATCAAATGTTAAAAGCTACTGGCTTGTTTGGAAGTCATTTGCAAGCTCCATCATGTATGAACTGAGTGAGACATATTTACAAAAAGACTTGTGTTGTCAATGGTTGTTCGATAATGACTGATGCATGGAGTGATCGGAAGTCTAGAAACATCATGAACATAGTTGTACATTCTGTTGGGAGGGTTTGTTTTTTTGTCTTCACATGATGCATCAGCCGATAAGCATGATGCTCAGTATATCTGTGCCTTTGTAGACAAGGCTATTGATCAGATAAGGGAGACAAATGTGGTACAAATAATCATTGATGGAGCTTCAAATAATATGGCGGCTTCTAAGTTGTTGGTCGAGAAGAGGCCAAATATATTTTGGACGACTTGTGCTGCACACATAGTGAATTTGATGTTGTCCGGTATAGCTAAGATAAAACACATTCGTAATGCCATTATAATGGGGAGGAGTGTATCAATGTTCTTATATAATCACACCAAGCCTCTTCAATTATTTAGGGAGTTTACTAAGGGTAATCTTGTGAGACAGGGAGTTATGAGGTTTGCTACAGTGTTCCTTTCTCTACAGTCATTAAGAGATCATAAGAAAGAGATGAGACAAATGTTTATTTCTGACCAATGGACAGATTGTAGCCTTTCAAGAACATCTGTGGGCAAAAAGGTATATTTTAAATTAAATTTTTTAATTGTATTCATTTGATCATTTATATTTCATTGATTGGATTTATTTGTATGTTTGTAGGTTGCGGCAAATACAGAACCATCAAATCCCTGTTGACAACCGATAGCTACTGCCAGAGCTGTAACTGTCGATGAATGAGAAGAAGGCATCCCTCCGGAAGCAATAAATTGCATTATATCCCATCGTCTCTCCTTGTACCTGCATTTCTTGGTCAAATTATAACCCTTAAAAGAACTAGCTAATAATACTATGAATTAATACTATGAAGCTGACGTCTTGTTTTGGGACGATTTTTCTAAAATTCATCCCCAGATGAACTTTT